CAAATATCCCAACCCACCAGTTCCATCAAAGGTGAATGATACACAAAAACGGCAACTACAAGATCCTATTACGTAAGCCCTGCTTTTCATTTTTGAGATGAGTAGTGGGTTACCTACTAGAAAATTAACACTATCGCATAACTATACAAGCAAGTTCAAACTCATTATGGCAAAACATTAACCCCTAGTCGAGATAAGGTAGTAAATGATATAAAAAGAATTTAATTATGCGAATAAAGTAATGGTGATTACTGATCGCTAATCTAAGTGATTTTACTCACCTCACCAACAAGAGCCATAGTTGATTCAGCAGCTGGATGACCAAACAACAAGTGGTACAAGACCAGGATTAAAATGACGCAACATTTTGCCGTAAATGCTATAGTTATTAAAACTTGGACACCAATCAACCAGTATGGATTTAGCCACTGCCATATGCCAATCTTGAAGAAAAAACGATCATATACCCAAAAGCACCCGGTCAACACATTAGCGTGGTAATCCTAAACTCTGATAAATCGGACTTATTATTAAGAATAGTACTTGTGGATGCACAAATTTGTCAAAACATACAGACCATATCCCCATGTGGAGAAAAGAACTATGTACACGATCATACGACTGCAACCAATAAGGACTGGAAAACGACAAGAAAAAGAACAGGAACCCTAAAGCAGCTGATATGCAAGCTGCATAGAAAGGCATATACATCTGAGTCAACTTGTAGTCCTTCTTCATTTCCGCTGCAAGATTTATAATTCCGGACAACCCAGAAGGTAAACAATCATAGGTAATTAAAACAATGTTTAGAACACAATTTTCAGTCTCTAATAAGAGGATAACAGAGAATTTTGCCACCTATATTTACCAATCCTCTGACTAATCGGCGATAGTGTATTGACTTCTTTTCACTCGCTTATTGACATTAAGTAGAGATTTCACTTTTTTGCACATTTCTAATGGGGTTAGTCGAACCGCCTGGCTGCAAATGTCTTGTTAATCAAGTGAAAAGTCTGAAGATAGCAACCATTTTTCACCAAAGAGATATTTGGTTGGCTCAGTTCAGCCAGCTCAAAATCATTTGAAATGTTCGAGATTTGTTAAGTAACGAGATGAATTGAAACGATAGTATAACTTTTTGCCTGATTTTAGGTTTCTTCTCAGTAACCTGAAAATGCGTCATTTAAAGGAGCTGCAAATTTTTTGGCATGTTATCGTTCCAGATGTCTTCCGATGTCTGTTTTTCATGACTTAAGCCACCATATTTTGATTGTCACATAGTGAACTGATTACCTTTGTTCTGTGGTTGATTTTAAAGTTCATCCCCTACTTGTTCCAAGGGCTTTTGATATTCACATTTGTTGATTCTTTGACGCTGGGGGAAGTTGAATTTATCTGTCACTTTCCTTTGGGTAGGATTGTAGTAGCTTGGCTTTGGGGTAATTCCTAAAATTTAATATGTCAATCACTCGGAAAACCGTTACTAAAAATATCTCAATGGTGTATGAATGCAGAAGACAGCCGAAGCGCCGACGACAGTTTATCATCCTACAGCGCAGATACAAATATACAAGCACATCAGTATTTGAGCAGGAAAGCTGATACGCCCAAGCAAGCGAATACTGAGGAGAACTTAGGGTTAAATCAGTTAAGAAGATTCAGGAAGTGTATGATTCATCGAGTGATCTTCGAGCAACAAACATCTAAGCTGGGGAGGGTTGTCACATATGATCAAGCATACATATTCATACAGACATGGTGGTAATAATTGTAGGGCCATTGAAGTGTCGCTGGGTCCTAACTAAATCATCTAGCAGTCGGGTCACTGAACTTCAAACAGTTTGTTGATCCTCATCTAGTTCAAGGACAATCAACGCGGATCAGTCAGTTGAACGTCATGGACTAGTCAATGAGGAGGTGGTCTGACACTTTCTTGCTCCTACTCTTACGAATATAATAATGCAATAATGTCGTTTGTGTTCTACAGTCACCAACACAACCATAACACCTGGATACGATGAAAGGGTAATTCACTTCAGGTACTAAACGGGAGGTGTGATTTCGACGTTAGTTATCCCTCACTCATCCGAAAGATCATCTACGTTAGTGATCTACATGATAATAGCACGAAGACAGGCAGGTTGTTAATGTTAACTGAAGGTCATGACGAAACCAACGTAATTATAGGAGGAGTAATCTTGACTGACAGAACTATCATTCCATCAGTGGTAATTGAGTCTTACCAACTGCATGTCACTGTTGAAAAAGTGCTGTCTGATGCCACTTTGAACGTCTGTGACATTTTTAATGAATTTAACAGCTTCTAACGTCTTTTAAAAATTTTAATCATAAGTACAACAACTGTTTAGACATGCTGAAACAGTTAAGTTGTGGATTTAGCAGTGATTGTGATACCTTCGCAAGTTCATTCATTACTCGGGCTGTTTCGTTTTAACGGAGCAAAGCTTGCATTTTTAAATGATAAATGCATAACCATCAACCCTATTTACTGACAAATTGCTAATACTCAACACATCTAATATAAAGCAATCAATGTAAACAAAGATAGAATGCTGTATTCATGATGGGCGAACGGTTACAAAGTAGAAGCTGCTTTAATTGCTAGAGAATAAAGATAGTGAGTTTCCCATCTGTAAACAAGACGGTCACTAGATGTTATCCCAACTGGGTTATCCCGGATTAGTGCCAAATATTAGTGTTTCCAGATAAGTTATTCAGCTTAAACATCACATGTACATCATGTGTAATACACTTTTCTGTCAAACCGAAGTATATGAATTTGTAAGCTTTCACCTAAATAAAAGATTGATAAGAACACTTTAAACTTATATTATGTTCAAGCTGCCTCAAAATGTTTGTGAAATATAAATAAAAATGTCTCCCTAAACTAGTGGGGTCTGTAGAGAATTGTCACCAACGAAGTTGAACTAATTAAATGCCTCAGAAGACTGATTACTGTGTGCCGAATAGTCTGCCTCACATAGACAGGGTCGCAAATGACGGATCATTCAGTGGGATGTCTGCTACAGTTGCGGTAGAGTAACTATCCAGTAAACCGCCTCAGTGGTAAGATTCTGTCATTTCTTTGAGTGAATTAAAGAAGCAACTTAGGCTGACCACTAGATTAAACTCGGTGACGCGGCTGATGCACTCGCGGCCAATGTTTGAGAAGAGGAAACAACCCAACTGACCTTACGTCTGACTGCCGGGACATAAGTGAACCAACAAAAGTTAAGTATGACAATCATAAGCTCTAACCACTTGCTAACGATAGTAGCAACGATGTCTTGATAATAATGACAATAATGACCGGTACACTAAACCCCACTTGATATTCTTTCCAAAGATTCACATCAAGCACCAACTCCGTAAATATTTATCACAGTGATTGAGATGACTATATTTGACTTGGGAATATGAACAAACAAAAACAGCGGTGGAATGAAAATTAATATCAAGATACTTAACAAAAGGAATAGTAGAGAAAAGTTATATGTGTTTCCAATAAAATTTTCATCGTGCTTCTACACCAATATGCAAATTATTTACAGTAGTATACTGATACTGACTGATTCATACTGCCATATTTTAACGTCACAAAAGACTGGGAATAAATGTGAATGATCAGCTACGTGGTGAAAAGTGTATGTGGTATTTGCAATGGGAATTCGCCATGTTTTTCACTACTTTTTATCATTATTTTCAATCTTTCAGAAGTTTTTTGCAAGTGAACTTTTGTCAACGACATGGAAAGAGGATACCTGTTGGTAATTCACAAGCAACCTATATGTATGTATATATATACATATATATTCTCCGATACTCTCCGCCAAGCTTTCAAAAGTTTTGTAATTTCAGAGACATCATTTGTACTAGATGCTATCTAGATTTAAAATAGTGTACTTGTACGTATGAAGTTCTTGTCGTACAGCGCAAAGTAGAACATGTCAGTTTAAGAATCTTCCTGTAAGTCAACAATTTTGACGGTCAACAGCCAGTTATTTCTGTTTACAAAGCAGTGCTATAGTTTCATTTAGGTTGAATCGGATTCAGACCTCATGGTCAACATTCAGTTTTGACTATTTTTTTCATGATAACCAGCTGAATCGACTCCTTTAGTGGCTGGCTGGAACAAAAATGATCTTACGCAAGAAATTTATTATAGGAAAAGACCGTAGAAGTTTTCTGTCAAGGCTCTTTGCATTGTGTCATTCAATGACGCACCAATATTATCTCGTGTGTGTCAACCTTGACATTGGCTCAACACTCAGTGATGTCTCGTCTAATCTAGTAACATTTCCGTTTGACAGATGACCTTGTAGGGTCTCAATGACATTTTACAGACCCTGAAATCTACGCGACACCAAATGTTGCGTGAGGTACTTCAGATGCCAGTTTTGTCACCTGTGCTGTACTTTTTATACGTTCAATCATATTCAGTAGAAAAATGATTGACACCAGTATTTTGTCCATACTTCTTGGTTGAAAACTGATAATTTAATAGTTTTATGAGGTCTTAATTATGAAACAACACTTCTTGTCTTGTATTTTTGGAGATGAACGGACAATCGGAAAACGTGTTTAAATCGATCAACAAATATAGTGAGGTGATTATTGCCTATAAGTGCTTGGTTTGAGCAGCTTTCATGTCACCGTCATACGCATCAGGTACGAGCATTTACATTGTTAAGTGTGAGCGTCAATCTTAATATTGACTGTTTTGGTTCACTACAAGTTGTACAAGATACTTTTTTGTCGAAGTGAAGACACTTTAACAAACATGATTTTGTGCATTATTTAAAATTTCAGCATTTAGATCGAATAAGTTTATATTCTATTTTGCGAAGACTTAAAATGAGCTTTCAAACTGCAGCTAAAGTTTTTGTGTGATAAATTTTTCATCGTAACGCACACAATGTGTGTTGATTTGCGTATTACTGAACTTTTCCCTCGTGTTTTACATCATTCTTTGACAAAGCAGCTCACGTAAATATAGGGTTTGAGTAAATAAAAAATGTTGATTCATATTTAGACATGTGTATGGTTGTATTTCTATTTATCCCGGATGAACAATTCATTCAAAACCAACATATGAATGTCATAACTCTTATTAATACACAACATGTAAAAATTATCTGAGTAAATCTCAGACATTCGACTAACAAGCATGATTAAATTGTCTGGATGTGTCGTCATAATAAACAAGTGTTTCTCGTAACCTCTATACGTAAAGGATGAAATAAGTCCATGAGGTACTATAATTCAGTAAAATTTGTATTATTCGTTTAATTATTAAGTGATTATTTTGAATATTACTAAAGGTTTCGTCTACTAAAGGCTTATAAATGTCGAATCGATTAATTGAGTGCCATTTGTCGACTAATGCTCATAGATTTATGTGAAAACTAGAATCCTTAATCGTATGACTTAGTAAGCTTCAAAATATTGTATACGTCATATATTTCGTTGTTGAAAACTTAACAGATGATAACAAAACAGATAATCTCGACACTTATTAAAACCATAATTGGTTATCCTCTAATAGGACACCTTAATTAAGTAAACTTGACATGTGTACTTGATAAGTAGTTTCTTATTCATAAACGTAATCTAGTTCGTGTTCAGATCTTTTTGCATTCCATAGAAAACGTTTTCTATAGGGATTAACAATGACTCAAGACTTTTCAAGAGAAGTATTAAAAGCATGTTCCTTATACACTATCCCTACTTCTGATTTTCTTCAAAAGTCAAAATTCAAAACATGTCAGGAACTTGTCTCAAACTTAAAAATGCTTACAATTTGTATACTGATTACTTTCAAAGCCAGTAAGGCCATGCACTATAATAGATACCAAGTAAGTCTTATATTTCAAGTACAGCAAATGAACTGTAAAAGCGCTCACCACACATTTCTTAGTGTTATTTCATATTTTCCACTTTGTTTAATTTGATTATAACAGTGTTTGATAAATGCAAAAGAAAGAGGCCGATGGCTTCACGGTCATCCTATACAAGAGAAGATGGTTTTCGCTACTGATATTTTGTCTGTGTTCATTTGGGAATGCTTATCAGTGGATTCATTTGAATATAATTTCTGATATTGTTCTGTTTTTTTGGGATGCTTCTATTCCAGGTGAGCCATTGTTTGTTGAAGTTATGATTTAGCAAAAACGATTACTGATGTTTTATTACCAATAAACCTATAAGCATGGATACAGAAACCTTTTTTGGCACTTACTGTTATTTCTTATCAAAACGTACTAGCATTTTTAAGGCTGGTTGTATAGGTTAAGTAACAGACCTAAGTTTAGAATCTTATATTAGTTAAAATGATTCATTTCACAAATTTTGGGATTTTCTTATTATCTTACTAGCTATGCTGTTTACCATCAAAATAGTTTAATCCATTTTTGAGTGCACAACTGAACTGCATAATTAGCAACGATAAATAAATCTTTCATTTAGCCTATCATATTATAAAGACTCCGTTTGGCGACAGTGATAATAGAAGTATGAGTTGAGTTGGAAGAGTATTTTTCAGACAAATGTACAGACGTATGCGCAATCACACATGTATAAGTGCAGAATTAGGAGGATGTGAATATATGTGATAATTGTGGATAAATTCATGACTTTCTATGAAAAAAATAGTCATTAGAAAGGTAAAAGCGACTCGTCAGCCACATACCGTTTTAGTTATTAAAATAAGTTCAAAAGCTAAGATAATGTGTGTGCACACTATGGTGTAATGACGTAAATAAAACAAACACCTACCAGTCCGTTGGTGTAATAAGTTTATTAGAAAAAAATGGCTTGTTTACCGTACTTTGTTAACTATTTTTATGTATTTTACCAGTTGCGATGTCTGTATGATGATGTATTGATGTATATTTGAGATTTCGTCTGCTACTGTCATCATAATTTGAGTATTGTATCATTTATGGGTCTTATACTGATTTATGTGGATCTGAAATGTTTAAAATGATAGTTAATTTTTGTTACAATCAAATTTGTTTGCTAATATACTTATATTTCTGTTGGTAAGTTGATAGGATCCAAATGAGCTAGTTTAGCATCTAGACTGTATAATATATTTCACTTCAGAATGATGGTTTATAGAAAAAGCTTATCTAAAATGTTATTTGTTAGTTATAATTAAAGCGATAAATCTTTTTATGCTTCAAACGCATTCCATAAAACTGTCTGTAAGACCTATAATTTTTATTCCACAGAAATACCTTTTTATTTGTTGAATAAACTGAGACTAAGTGACATAATGGATGAATCTTTGTCTTGTAAAATAACAAGTACTTAACTCAGTCAGTCAGCCAGACAACTGCTCAGACTTGTTAAGGAAACCGGTATTAGGAACCCGACTGTTAGCGAAACTATCTCGGAAAAAGATGAATATATTATTCACTATCAATTCAGGAGATTGGATCGATGGGCAGAACACTTTAGGGATCAGTTCAACCGGCCTTCAGTCGACCTGAATGGTAAGTTAATGTAAGTCCTCCAACTCTTTACGAGGTTAAAAATGCTATAGGAAATCTGAAGCGTGGTTCTGTGACAGTGTTTGTCACTGAAAGGAGTACCAAAGAAGTACATTAATCTTATAAAGACTCTGTACTCGAAAACAACAGGTCGAGTTAGAGCTTATGGCTAACTGTCATCAGAATTCTTTACCTCAAGTGGTACTTAAATAGTATTTTAGTATTGATATTTGTATTGAGATGAATAAATATACAACTGATGAACTTTAAACAAGACTAAGACCGCTCATCCTGAAACATAATTTAAAGAATTTCTATAACAGTTACAATAGTAGTAGCTTGTAAATTAACCAATAAACTAGACTAAACTAAAATAAAAATTAACTTAATTTCCAATTATATTACTGTTAAATTTGATCTTAGAAAATCAAAATGTGATTCGGTATATGAATATTTATAGCACATTTAAATGTATGATCATACTTTAAAACATTTATAGTTATTAAATCTATCTAAGCTTTATTTATATTACAAAATTTAAATGAAATTCATTTCGAGGTATTAAGACGTAACCTATTTCATGACAATTAAGTAGATAGAATAAATATGAATTATTTATTATATAGATCTATTTATTTGTACACATAAATATTGGTACATATGGATACCGAATATATATATGCCGCACAAGTCCTTTGATTTATGTGTGGTCTATGATACTGCTAGGGTGCTCAAATCGAAGCAAGTGGTTTCCTAAGGAGGCCACGCTTGGAGCCTGATCCACAAGGCAGTTGAGCAACGTCAAGAGGTGTAGTTCCACGATAGCCGGTGACTAGTAATAGGTTCATACGCCACTTGTTCCTTCAGGATACTGGAGCCCATGTACACGATTGGTTTGGAATCAGGGTTTTCCAACTCTCCTAGGTAGACCGATAATCATGTATTCTGATTTTAACTGAAGTACATTTCACAACATAAATTCATTTAATTGTATTTATTTGTCTAGTGTTCCAATGTTTCAATCTCAGTTGACAGATAGTTTTTATCATTTCATGAATTTATTTACAGCTTTGTGATGTCCTATGTTGTTTTGTTTTACTACCTATTGCATTTACTCATCTTTAAAGACTTTATTATTAGCCAAATACCTTACTTTGAGCTGCATTCGAAATGATCTAGCATTTGATGATAAACAACTTTAACTCATTGCTCGTGTATACTGAGGGCACTGAGTGGGCAGTACTAGGATTAAACGTAGGGTATTATATAAAAAATGTCAAATGTATCGATGAGGTAGGGGATATTTATCTAATGCGGTGTCAAGGACAAATGTTAGGTATGCCTAATCACTGCCTCCTTCAACGGGCGATGCTTATCGACGTAGTATTAGGTTGGATAAAAGCTAGGAGTGCTTAGACAAAACGAAATACCAGTCTATGAGTACACTGACCGTCAGTCTGAGCGATGTTGATAGATCCAAATTCTGTTTGTCGTGATAACTGTGACTAGCAGTTGGAGAATCTGGGTGGTATAGCTTAGAATTGTTCGAAATAGTGCAGATACATTCATCGTTTTGGTCTAGAATTTCAGCATTTCTTCATACATGCCTTTCCATGTTATTTCGTTTCTAACCATATTCCTAATATTCAATGTTTATTTTTTCTGATCTTCACTGCTATTACATGATACCGATCTCTTTCATGATTCTTCATGGTATTTTTATCTTACAATGCCAATGTGGTATGGGTACTTTGAACAGCGCACAGTTATGCTATGCACTATGTTGTTTGAATTTACTAACTGACTGTCACTTCATTAGACCTGATTTTAGACCTCATAGATGTCCATGATTTTTCCTATTAGTTGATAAATTAGGTCGATTTCGATATGTTTATTGGTTGCTGATTGACGTGAATGTTACACTTTAAAAAATTCTGGTATTCATAGTGTTCCTCTATTCAGGGTTTTAACAATGAAAGCCTAATCATTAAACAACCGGAATCAGAGAACAAAACCCCAATAAAACCATACAACGTAAATACAAATCTTACCATCTTAAAAGCACATTATATATCGACTAAATACAAGTAATGTAAGAAAAAGAAACATTTCGTACAATTCCTCATAAGTTAAATTAGTGTAACACAAACGAGTAAACAAGTAAAAGGACGGACAGGTATAAAGTTATTGAATCTGACACAAATACGTATTGATCCAAATTGTTGAATTTTATAACATCACAATAAAAGAAAAAAATCATTGGATCGAACATTAACGTTCATTTTGTTTAAATGTCAATGATTCGACTAAGAAAGGTGCTACAAACAGTAAGGTCACATGAATAGCTTATTAACACTGACCTAATTCAGTGTTGATACTCTACAAAATCAAGGTTATTTTGATAGAATGACATTCTGTAAATAAATGTACAGTGGGTATGTGTGTTAGAAAGTGCTGACGATAACTCTTCAGCTCAGTGGTCTAGAGGTTAAGCGTTCGCGCGTACGACTGATGGGTCCTTGGGTTGAAATCTCGCGAGGCGGGATCTTGGATGAGCACTGCTGGGAGATCCCAAAACAGGACGAAACGGCCGTCCAGTTCTTCTGTTTCGTCTTAATATTAAACTAATCAACAATACCCATTAAATTCCCTGCAAGAGATCCAACCCAAGACCTCTAGATTTATCTGTTGAGCACTTAATCTTTGAATCACTGAGAACGGAACCAATGGTTTATATGTCTAACTCCAATCATCACACGATGTTCCGCAACTAGCCTCTGTTGCCTCTAAGAGGTAATCATCTCAAAATTCGTCACAGCTTCTTACCAGAAATAGTTTACTATTTATTTACTTAACAAATTCATTTATGTATATAAATTTCTAATGATGATATTAATACTAACAATAATAGTTTTCAATAATGGTTCATATTCAAATCAGGAAACATTAAACTCTTAATTTGAATTATACTTCTTACCCCATAATGGATAACTTAAATCATTTATTCTTATGCATAAACTTGTTCAACTTATATGTTGGTTTGTTTGTTTGTTTCGATTCAGTCCTATTTTTACTTCCGTTTAGAAGTTATGATAATTTATGCATACAACAGGTACACATTCATACATATAAAGAGAACCTAAGAAGCTAGCAAATATATACGTGTGTATATGTTTGTGTTTCATTGGGAGATGGTTTCCCTTTAGTTTTTTGACAATTAAACCATTATTTGTAAGCAATGATGGATAGTGGCTAGCAGTGGAATCCAGGACGCGCGTTTCGTCCTATTTGGGACTCGTCAGCCGGATGTACCTGCATCTTAGAGTCGATGTTCACTCTAGGACTCAAATCCAGTACCATTCGCTTCAAACGCCATCGCGTTAGGGAGAAACGCGCGTTCTGGATTCCACTGCTAGCCACTATCCATCATTGCTTACAAAGCTTGTGAATTAAGGCAATATTGAGGCATACGCACAGTATGCACATATGCCAATAGCAGACTGATCAATTGCAGTCTTAAACCTCAATGGGAAGATACAAGCCAAACAATACCAAGTGAATTTAAACCATTATTTTTTAAACAAAAATTAAATGTAAAACAATATTGGATTATTAAAGATATAAATAAACCAAAATTGAA